TTGTACTCCTGGACCTTAGCGCTGCTTTTGACACCATTGATCACAACATCATGTTAGACAGACTGAGGCACTGGGTGGGGATCTCTGGTACTACCCTAGAATGGTTTTCATCCTACCTGTCAAATAGGAAGTTTTGTGTGTCTGTAAACAACTATGTCTCCTCGTTCTGTCCAGTTAAATATGGTGTGCCTCAGGAGTCGGTCTTAGGACCCATTTTGTTTTCCTTGTATCTGCTTCCCCTTGGACATATTATCCATAAACATGGCATTTCTTTTCATATTTATGCTGATGACACACAAATATACTTGTCCGTCAGATCCACAGATCCTGGTATGCTGAGTTCACTTAACAACTGCCTTTGTGAAGTTAAAAAATGGATGTCAAATAATTTCCTCCAGCTGAACTCAGACAAAACAGAAATCCTGGTCATCGGGTCTCAGCAGATGGCAAATCAGATACTGCCATCTGCTGGTTCCCTAGTAAATCACATTAAGCCTGTGGCAAAGAACCTTGGTTTGATAGTAATTTAAATTTCGAGCAGCACACCACAAAGCTTGTTCAATCATGTTTTTATCAACTTAGAAATATAGCAAAAATTCGATCTATGTTAACTTTTAAGGACACCGAGACCATTTTACACGCCTTCATCTCATCACGCCTGGATTATTGCAACAGCCTTTTCACCTGTTTAACCAAAAAATCTATTGATCGACTCCAGGCTGTCCAGAACTCAGCTGCCAGGCTTTTAACCAGAACAAAGAAATATGACCACATTACTCCTATTTTAGCTTCATTACACTGGCTCCCAGTATGTTTTAGAATTGACTTTAAAATTCTATTGATCACTTTTAAAGCTCTTCATGGCCTCTCACCTTGTTATATTTCTGACCTTTTAGTCCCATACGCACCAGCACGTACCTTGAGATCCTCGGGCAGAGGTCTGTTGTCTGTTCCAGAGTCTCGACTGAAAACTAAAGGGGACAGAGCGTTTGCTGTCAGGGCCCCGAGGCTCTGGAACAGCCTGCCCAAGGAAATCAGGTCGGCTGAGTCAGTGAACTCTTTTAAGTCCCTTCTTAAAACATACTTTTATAGGAGAGCCTTTCCCGATCTTATTTGACTTTATTTTATCCCTTTTATTTTATTGTATTTTACTAATTTTATATTCATTTTTCATGCTATTATCTTGTTTTTTTGTATTATTCTTTACACTTGTTAAAGCACTTTGTAACTTGTTTTTGAAAAGTGCTCTACAAATAAGGATTATTATTATTATAGGTGTCCAGAAATTCCCACTTTCCAGGTGATGCATCGTGATGCATCAAGATATTGAATCAAATCGTATCGTTGCCCTGATATTCGTAATCGAATCTAATCGTGAGACCAGTGAAGATGCACACCCCTAAGTTATAGTAGAAAAACTGTTAAAAAATTCAGTATTTTTTAATGGGTATTGTCAGGTTTTCCAAATAGTGGCTTTCTAATTTTGTTGTGACAATTTCTATATAAAGATGTCCGTACAGTTTAGAAGGTGGCCGTTTTCTAGACACTTTTTAGGGGTGCTCAAGCACACCTAAATTTCAGCTCATCCCCCCTAATTTTTTTTATTATATTACAATTATATATTAATATTTATAATAAAATATTTCAGAAACTTATTACTATAGTAATTATTTTCTGAAATATTTTTAACCCTCTAACATTAGATTCCAGGCTTAATTTGTGCATCATCTCGCCAGTGTCACTTTTTTGGTTGGTTGTAGTTGAATCCAATATGTTTGTGTGTGAGTGCACAGAGGGAGAGAGATGGATAGAAGAACTAGGTGAGAAAGTGGACAGATAGTGAAGCCAAGATTGATATATCTCACATTCTCATTAGAGGCTGAACCCCCCTAAAGATCTGATCTTATATTCGCCCCGGCCCTGAACAAAACACAACATGGATATACAAGAGGGGACAATGTGTCAGTGTGAAGGATTGTGTCTGCATCTATGAACTATGACAGAGAGAGAGATAAGTGCACACAGACTTTCTTTTTCATCTCGGCTGACAGGCCACAAGAGCCACCTCAAACCAGCATTTGACCGCACTCTAAGCTCCTCAGAGCGCTTAATAGGACCACCTAGACTACATATTGTCAATATAAACATCGCATCGCGCACCCCCAGTCTGGCTTTTATGGCATTTGAATAGCTATCCCATTGCACTTGTCCCAATCCCACTGGCTCCAGTCTGAAATTTCTCTTAACACTGGTTCTCTCGCTTCCCTAAACACACCAGCATCAGTACTGCACAGCTACACACACACACACACACACACACACACACACAAACACACATATCCCCTTCTTACTATCTCTCTTTGTCATTCTCACACTCACTCATACACGCTTCCACCAGTCTGTCTGTCTTCTAGTCTTCCTTGGCAAGCACACACACAGATGTACATAACCATCTCCTGCACACACAAATGTCCCATACCCACACTGCAAGGTCTCCTCCCCCAGGAGCATTATGTCACACCTGGGTATTTCGCACTCCACAGAGCTCCATGCTCGTTAAATCACTGAATTCCCATGAAACCAGGCGAAGAAATGCCGCTGTGCTTCACGCCTGAGTTTTATATCTAATGGGGAAGTGGTGGTGGTGATAAAGTTTATGAGGATGTATGATGATGGGTGTAAGAGTGGAGAAAGATAGCGCAAGTGGCAGGAGGGAGGGTAGAGAAGGGTGTATACTTTGATGGTCAAAGTATAGTCTGTATGTATAGCATCCTGCTCGTTGGAAAGAAGAGGACTTTGTTTTTTAACCGCAAGACCCACTTGTGCTCTCTTCTGAAGTGAGGCTGACTAAAATTCTTGCCTTTCTCCTTTTCTTTCTCTGCCTTCTTCTCTTCATATGTATTCTAGTCCCAAATATATCAAAGTTGTTCAAATCATAACTCTCTGGAACTTGGTAGCTCCATTTCCTCATCTAATTGTAGTGTACCTCAAGGGTCGATTCTGAGACCTTATATTTTTTCTAATTGCATGCTTCCCCTTGGTCAATATATTGTTTTGTGTATATGCAGATGATGCATAACAATATCTTCCCGTCAACCCCACTGATTCGTGTAGTTTGACTGCCCCAAAGGACCGTTTGAGGACGTTAAGTATCCAGTTTCTCCAGTTTATGAGGATAAGATTGAATTATATTTCCCTCACCCAGACGGAAAACTTGGTTTCATTCGGCCCCACACCAAGCAGCCTTCCAGAAGTTTGGGACTATTTTTAATCGGAAAACTGAACTTTGACAACCAAGTATAAAGAGTTATTGAGTTGTGATTTTAACAGTTGAGAAATATCTCTAAAGCGAAACTATTTCTGTCTGCCGTTGACCAGAAGAAAATCATTCATTCTGTCTGGATTATTGTAATTTGCCCTCAGTAAAAAGGGACTCTATCCTCATCATAAAACTGGAACAATGAGAAGAAAACACATTACCTCAGTTTTAGCATCCTTTCATTTATTTCCCATTGCATCCAGAATACAGTTCAATATTATATTATTCACCTATAATTCACTAAATGGATTGGCTCCTAGCTATATGTTTGACCTCCAAAGCTCTTTCATACAAGGACACACACTTCAGCAAAATAAGCTCTTCTTGTTGTTCCTACGTACGAATGAAACCAAGTGTGACCGTAAATTTTCTACCATGGCACCTAAACTGGGGAATTAATTACCATTCACAGTCTGCATCTCTTCCTCTGTATTTCCCTTTAAACAGCTGAAATATTATTATTATTACTATATTTTTAAACTGGCTTTTCACTGTCTTGTATGCTTGTATCTCTCTAGCAGAATATTATTTCAATTATTTTAATGTTTATTATATCTCATTTATCCATGGTTCTAGGGAGGGCAATGTCGGTTTGTCGGTCCACTACTAACCCTGACAGCCCTCGGCCCCACCCCAAACAAATGTCACTTTCTAATTGGACAGCATTGGCGATGCAGGAGCGCATTGCTATTTGGACAGCTGTTAATTTAGGAGGGTTGGCAGCAGCAAAAATTGTGGCTGTGACGGTAGCAAGCAGAGGGACGACAATCTGGAACAGCAGTGTGTGTGATGCAATGAGGGAGAAAGAGTTAGGAAAATAAGAAGTTTGAGTCTGTTGCAAAATCACCACTCGCACCGCCGTCTGTCTGTCATCATGACGTTATGTTGGGCCAATGAAATGAAATGGATCCACAAATGAAAATGCAGTGTCACTACACAGCTCTCACCGTCTCTACATTCCTGTACAGTATGGACTGTGTCATACTGTTGATGCATAAGCGCAAACCCTGCAGTTTCATTCAAGGCTCTGCTCCGAAACCTCAGCATCACCCGCACAGGAATGTAATTCTCCCCACCACCTCCATCACCACCCTCCCCTCTCTTTCTTTCACACACATTCACACGTAATGAAGTACACACAGACACACGGCGCTCGGGGGAACCAATCACCATCGACTGTTTTCAGGTCCTGTTTGTGAATGGGATTTTTACGGGTGAGGAGGAGGAGGAGGAGGCAGGCACCGCTGCATTTGTAGGCACGTAGCTGCTACACCAGGGAAGCATCACCACCCCATTCTCATTTTTACATCCTTTACTTATGTTAAATACTCCTCTCACTCTTATGTTGGCTGCTCTCTAGTTCAAATATTGATGTTTTGGTTTGTTTGTTTTATCTCATGCACTCATTTCCATTTTTGCTTTTCTTTCCATCTCCTTGAACTCTAAATCTTTTTTAAGCTTTTTTTGATTGTTCAAAACAGCCTTTCTTTTCCATGCTTTTCTTTTACTTTTCCCCTGACACATCATCATCATCATCATCATCATCATCATCATCATCATCATCATCTAGCCCTGATTGCCTCTTTTTTACTCTCTCTTCCTTTATTCTCTTCTTTTCTTCAAGATGCATGTAAGGTTACTGACAACCAACAACACATACAGTCATACTGTGGACACTTACCTCCTGTGACAGAGTCTTCGTCCCGGGTGCTTCTGAATCCTCAGTGGTTGAAGGAAGAGCGGCGAGCCGGCAAGCTTCTGGCGGTGGAAGAGAAGTGGAGGACAGAAAGAGAGAAAGAGACAGAAAGAGAGATAAAAAGACAAGAGACAGCAGAGAGTGATAGCTATAAAGAGAGAGAGAGAGAGAAAGTGGATGAGAGAAGGCAGGCAGTGTGAAGAGGAGGAGGAGGGTGCTCCGGCTGGCTGGAGGTGAGATGAAGGGGAGAAAGAGAGAGGGAGGGAGAGATAAAGGAAGAGGGAGGGAGAGAGGGAGGGTGCGCTGGATTGGGATAGGAGGGGAATGTGTGATGTTTGAGAGGAGAGGAGGAGGAGGAGGGATTGCAGGGAATGGACGGAGAGGAAAGTTGGAGAGAGGAGGGAGGAAGGAAGGGTAAGGACGCAGAGACAAAAGAAAGGAAGAAGGAGTATAAAAAGATAGATGAGGGCAGAGGCAAAGAGGTAAAGAGAACAGAGACAGGTATGTTCACATTGTAATCCAGGGGGCCTTGATTTGTTAGAGGAAAATATGTGAAACCATCAGATTTCACAACACAACTTTGTCTTTACTCCATTACAGCTGTAACCTTCCAAAGCCAACAAAAAATATAAGTTCAACTCATGTCAAGCCGCCATATACGGCCGGTCCCTGGAGACAATCTATTTCAGAGTGGAGAAAATGTCCTTTCATCCATTAAATCACAGTTTAATCCAATCCAGTGTTGGTATCTTGCAGCATGGATACTGCAATCACCTTTGGAGCAATAACTTACAGGAGCCAGAGGACAAGAGGGCTGGGAAGGAAAAAAGAGGGGGAGAGGCAAGAGAGCTGACAAAAATGGAATCGGGGAACACTAAGAAAAGCATGACTGACCTGGAGAGCAGGGGAAGAGGAGCAGATTGGCCTTTGGCTTAATGCGCTCAGCAATGAAAGGGTGGGGAAGAAGAGCAATGGAAAGAAAGAGAGGAAAGATAAAAGAAGGGTGAATGGTGAAAGATGTTATTGTGAAAATCCACTGATCTGTCATGTGTCTTTCAGAAAGTTTAGGCAGGGTAATGGGTCACGTGTGAATCATAATGTTCTGTGAAGTGGCACTATACCTCAGAGCACTTTACAGTCACGGACGGATGGCCCGTTCTCCTTCCCAGGTCATCGAATACCAACACTTTATCATAGCCCGTTGACGCACCGGGCTGCTGGCAGAAAGCCTTTTCAGTTGTTTAGTTTTGTTTTGTAGTCTGTTTGCTGTTGTTTTGTAGTCATTTTGCTTGTCTTTGTAGTTGTTTTGTTTCTCTTTGCAGTTGTTTCTCTTTTTTGTGGTCATTTTGTGTCACTTTGTTGCCATTGTGCGTCTCTTGGTGGTCTTTTTGTGTTGTACCTTTGCAGGCAAATAAATCCCTCGCTGAATGCACTTAAAAAGGGCAACATAGTAAAGTACCTTCCGGACATGGTTTTGAAAAAAGGTACAGATTTCAAATAAAGGGTCAAGTCTCATTCACTACAGTCGGACCTGAGGGCCATAAAAGGGGCTCTGATAATAGAGATGTGATGCATTTGAAAATCTCTTTTAGGATTCAGTGTCAGATGTCTGGATCAGCTAAAGTACTCTGGAGCTGACCATATCAGGATTCATTTTCTCAAGGTGAGGATTAATTTGCTCAAGGACACTTCAGCAGAGTGGATGCTGGGCTTAATCCTGGGACTTCTTGTCACCCTTTAAAAAAGAAATGGCTTTACTCAGCTGTTTAAGCACACTGTTGACAATGGCATACCATTTTCATAAAAGTCTGCAAAAGTCAACTACATAAAGCTTCAAAAAAAGCTTCAAAAAAATCTAAAATGCCCTAAAGGCTGGGCTGCAATGTGTTCTTTTCCACACACTAATGTGCTGCACCATGGGATTCACCCCTGCGAGACTCTCTGGCAAATCACCCTCCAGAATGTGTGTATTGTACATCTGTGTGTGCATGGATTTGTGCTGTAAGCACAGCCTGCTTGCGTATTTTGTGTTTGTAAAATAGATGGACAGCAAGACAGAGCAAGAGATTTGGGCGCAGTTCCAGCTTTGAGGGATTTCGCCTCTTTTTGCTCGACTCCAGAGCTGCAGCTTTAACATCCTAGTTCAGACTCTGGCTAATAAAAGAGGAAGTGTGTGCACTGCACACTCTCAGAAACCCAACAATTGAATTGATTTGTTCAGATAAAAACAATGTCATTGTTTGATTCTAGATGTTTCCCAACTCTATCTGAAGTAAAAATTGAGACAAGGGAAGTGATCATTGCTCCCAGGATATTACATGCATTGTTAAGTGATTGCTTTTGTGTGCTCGTGTCATTTAGATGGCTGCATGCACCACTGCTGACACCAGCATAAGTTTCAATGTGATTTCTAGTCTTGCTTTTGATTTCATTGTTCTCAAGTGATTTTGGGAAACAGGCAGTAATGGAGTACAACTGTGCTGTGACGGTAATAACATCAAGAGAGCCTGTGTGTGTCTGTGTGTGTGTGTGTGTCTGATAGAAAGAGAAGGCACAAAATTAATGAGACAGGAGAAAGAGAGCAAGGCGTGTCTCCTGCAGCTGTTTATCAGCCCAGAGTACTCTGCTCATTAAACTACAACTACTTTATAATTACTATAACGGATTCTTATTGGACAAGTGTGCCTTTCTTCATAAAGAGTCCAAGAATTGACGCTGCCTTATTTCTCCTGCTGGAGTCCCCCTCTCTCTCTCACACACACACTCACTATTGATCTCATTAATTTACATTACATTCTCATTAGCCTCAAAGGGTATTTCATTTTACACCAGCAGGATGATGGCTGTGCAATTGTGAAAGTAGCGCTATTAGTCGACAAAAACAGATTGGTCCAATCATTCGGCTCATGCTGTGTATAAATGCCATTAGCACTGATTTGGCAGTTGATTTTTTTTTTCAGAGTAATCAAAATCCTTTTGTTCTTGTTGATGAATTTGTTATTTTTTTAAATTTGTAAAAAGAATGCCCCAAAACAATTATTTAGGATGTTAAAGCATACACTGTTAAAGCTGTACAAGGCAGGATTTATAAGGGCACATCTTTTCTTATCAGTAGAAATCGCAAGATTGGACAACATTTGAAACTGTAATTTAAAAGTACTGCCCAACCCGTTACCTCACCAGAGAAAGCTGGATGTGCGTTTAGTAAAACGCTGTGACAAACTACTGTGACATGTAATAACCCTCATAGACAAAAAATAGACAAATGAAGAAACTAAACGAATCCTAATACAATGTCTTTCATTGTTGTTTCTCGGTACATCTGCCAATGAGGCTGAACAGGATGCATGGTGGTGAAGCTGTTAGTGGTGAAGAGGAAATAAAAGTTTCCAGTTGGTTCCCGCTCAGTCATGTAAATCATGTCAACTTGCACTGCATTACTGGAAAACTCAGCTTACCGCTTTAACCTTAAAACTGGCATTATTCCTTGAACTTTAATCAGGTTGAACATGTGCATGTAAGCGTATTTGGCACACAATTTCTGGACATTTTAGTTTGAATCTTTAAAAGGCGCCACAAATGCACAGTTCCCAGTGTTTCAACACATATTGTCCATGATAGTGTGGTTTCTTTTCTAGCATGGATTTACACAATAAGCACTTTGACTGTATTCTCATAGGCTGCTGCAAATGTGCCATAAAGAGCTGGTATAGTTTCATTCACGTAGGAGCATTAACAATAGAACTGATTGTATTTCTGGGAACGAAAGAAGTGGAGTTAATGAGAATGTGTTTTCTCTTTATTGAATCGAAATGGGAACACAGTGTCTCATTTGTTTTGGGGGATTTCTGAGATGATGGTCTCTGGGACTCATGACTGATTTACCTGATTTAACAGGCAGATGAAGTCATTCAAACAGAAGCTAATTTGAACCCCCAGAGAGGTAGTTGCATGATTAGATAACTCTCACTCCAAACCTCTGGTACTCAGCATTGTTGGGTGTTTTTGCTGTCCAGATCAGTCCAGTGTTCAGTTTAAGAACAAATATTTTGCACAAAGATTGAAATTAACTACTGGTTTTTGAACCATTGTTTGTTTCCGTCAATAATTCCACTCTTATCATGCATCTTTCCATCCACAGCAGAGGTATCAGCATACTTAACACCACTTGTAGTTTGCAATCACTAGGTGGCACGATTGAGGTTAAGCTCAAGCTGGCTGGAAAATTGTTGTTGTGACATTTTTAGAAAAATGTTTAGTAATTGTAACTGTTGTATTATTGCATGATTATGGTAGAATCCCACAAATGCAAGTGAGCACATTTACTCAAGTACTGTACTTAAGTAAAATTTGGGGGTACTTTTACTTTGCTGGAGGGTTTCTATTTTATGCCACTTTATGCTTCTACTGAAGTATAATTCAATGGGAAATATTGTACTTTGTAGTCCTCTGCATTTATCTGATGGCTGGAGTCACTAGTTACTTTACAGATTTACATTTTACAAACAAAACATGTGATCAAGTCATAAAATATGTTACTGTGCTTTAAATTAAACTATACAACAAGACATGAAGTAGTTTAAATGTGCTGACATTAAAATGCTGCTTACGTGTTCAAGCATCAGCAACAATATTCCAATAATATGATGTATATATATAATAATATGACTCTCTGAAGGACAATTCAACACAATAAAACTTTTACTTTAATAATTTTAAGTGACATATTGACTGTAGGACTTTTATTTGTAATAGAGTATTTTTACAGAGCGTATTACTTAAGTAAAATATATGCTTGTGCTTCTTCCCCCACTGTAATACACCCAACAACACATCTTGCTATATGTTGTGAGAAAATGAACATGTGAGTTCACACTCTATCGTTCCACCCCACCAAGTGTTGACCATATGTGATTCTTGACACAAGCAAACCTCAAGTAGCTGACATGTAGAGATCAGCAAGTTGATTGGTGAGTTCCTCATTGTTTCTGAGAATCAGAGGAAGGGTTTTTTTCTTTCTTAAGGTCTCTAGAGAAAGAAGCTATTCTAGTCTTCCCAACTTGTCTGGATCCATGCCAAACGCGCTGTGAAGCACTAATATTGACAGCTCTGAAGCCACAGCAGTTGCCAGTGGTATATCTGTAGATCTGTTTGCATTTGTATTGCAACTAAAAAGAATTTCATGGTTTTGAGCCCCTTGTGCATGTGGCATCAAAAAATTGTTTGCCTGACACAGTATTAACGTACAGTGGGCAGAGGCCAGTAGTTATAAAATCAAAATCTTTAAAAAAGTATTGCAAATGTGCATTGGGCAAGTCACAGCAAAGTGGCAGCAGTTGAAATGAGGAATTGGTTATGCTGTATCTTCACTCATCATCAACTTTGCTCAGACCGAGGAGTTAAAGATATGTTAGCAGGAAGTCAGAGGGCAAGAGAGAGAGAGACAGAGAGAAAGGTCAGCTGAGCCTTTTGAGTTACAGCATAATAAACTTTCTTTTCATGTCTATCGGAAACAATTGACAGCAAAATCAGCAGCATATAGCATCACTGAAGTTGTTTCTGAGATAGTCATAAACCTCTGGCGATGTGCATGCATGTTTCTGGCTTTTCCTACATGACCTTAAAATGTCCTTTACATCTTTTGTCTTTGTCACATTGATGTTTGCCTTCTTCATTACTCAAATGCGTCGAATCAAGAAAGCCATCAGACAGTGGCGTGGGTCACGATCCAGGACGAGTAAACTGCTGGATCTGTCAGATAACTTTAAAGTCATATTGAAAAGACAAGTGAAACTGTAGCATTAAATAGCACGCTGTGTAATCCACTGGAGGAGCGGTGTGGGGGACTAGAAAGAGCCAAATGTCCTCAAGCAAGACATGGAGGCTTAAAGAGCGTACTCACCTTCTAAGACTGGTAATCTTTCAACGAAAGGAGAAACTGAGACGCACGTTTGAGTCAGAGTCAGAGTTAGGTTTCTAATTTGTTTTTCAAGAATTAATATTGATGAGTAAATGACATGGGCTGCAAGTGCAAATGCATTTTTAACCCGACACATGCAGTCACAAAAAGGAACTTTAATCAACACAATACTGACCAAAACAGGTGAAAAGGGAGCTTTATCATAAGTGTGCACAATTCACTCTTTATCAGTCGAAAGAGGTACTGGGTGTAATAGATGTGTGTATTTAGGATGAGTGAAAAGGTAAGTAATGATCTGATTTAGTGATTGTGTGACCAACATGTTTGGTGGTTGAAATGTTCACTGACTCAATATGGGTTCTGTCTCATTGCTTTAGTGGACGAGAAACCTGAATAACTGTCAGTATCATAACAGGAAAGCAGAGAAACAGCAATGAGCTCTCATTTAAAATGAAACACAACAACATTTAAATAAAAACACCTTATTAGCAATTACAAGTGAATTGTAACTCATGCAACAACATGCAGCAGGTGTACAATAATAAATAATTTAACTGTTTTCTTAATTTCTGATCTAACCATGAAATGGTTCTGAATGCTTAATCAGAATAAATATATCAAATCCCAAACGGTTTGCAAAATTCTTTTAAAATGCCTTTCCCTCTCGGTCCATCCATGTTATAAATCTGCAATGGTGGAAGAAGTATTCAGATTCTTTACTTAAGTAAAAGTAGCAACTGAACGTGTAAAGACGCTATCACAACTAAAATTCCTGTATGCATAATCTCTGAAAGTCTCTGAAATCATTACTTTGCATTATAGTGTGTAAGAGTGTTACATTATTAGTAAAGCTTTAACATGCAGGTGCCAATTTAATGTTGTAGCTGCTCCAGGTAATTTGAACTACTTGATATCCTGATAATCTGTTACAGTAGCATGTTTGAAGCTGATCATATGTTCTGTTGGCAAAATCTTAATCTGTGAAGTCAGATAAATGTAGTGGAATAAAAAGTACAATATTTCTCTCTGAATTGTACTGGAGTAAAGGCCTAAAGTAGTATAAAATAAAGAGATACTCATGTAAAGTACAACTACTTCAAAAGTTTATTTACTTTCCACACCTGCAAATTTGCTTACTTCACTGACAACAGGAGAATATAGGTGGGAGTCACCCAGATGATGAATGAAAGAATGAATAAATGAATTAAATACTAGATGCATTTTAGTGTGTCACTGTTTTACTCTTTTGTCAATCTAATCTAATCTAATCTAATGTGATCTAATCTTATCACTACTTTGTTGCAAATAAATTCTGAATTGAGGCAAAAAATTTCACATTTTACTAACATGCTGTGAAACTGTTCCCTCTCAAAAGAAGTGGGTGCACCGCATGAACCGGCACCGAATGATCACGCTTTGAAGATGCCTTCACTACGCCCACCTTTAATTGTCAGTAGCGAGGTTGGGCTATATTCGTTTAAAGTCACATGTAGGAAAAAGAAGAGTATCTGATGTAATGGGTTAAGTAAGATACTTTAAAGGAAAATAGCTACACATGGTAATGTAAATAAATATATTGCAAGTGTTTCAAAATGTAAACAAATGGAACATCCTGAAACATGAAACAGCTGCATGTGGCAGCGCTGCAATGGAGGAAATGTGCAACTCTGTTATCTCAAAGCATGCGGTTGATTTACCACTGATACTTACTATTTTGTTGGCAGACCTTGAGTAGGTCGTGTCACGAAACCAAAATATGTATCCTTTGAGACGTCAGAAAGCAATATTGGTTTGATTTATTGTCTTTAAACAAGAAATGTAAAAGTAAGAAAGTGTCGAGAACTGTTTTTAGCAGTTTTTATTTTACATTTACTGTTACAACTTTCTGGTAAGTCTCTCTAATTGCTGTTTTTTCCACCTTCTATACCAAGATATACATGTATTGTTGTATCTGTCTTTAAGTAGCTGTGTCTCCAGAATAATCTGAGGTTTCTGTTGCAGCCAGTAACTACAGCATTTTGGAGCCTGCCAATTAAAATCTGTCTGATCGTGTATTAAAGTGATAGTGACACTGTGGACAGAAAGGGGAAACTGAACTCGTCACAGAGGAAACTCCCACAGACTTCTCAAAAGTGTTAGTGAGGAACCGGCTGACAAGAAGGAAGCGCTGGTGACAGACGGACAAAGGAAATCCAGTCTTCATCATGTGAGGTAGGAGAAGGTGATTTACTGTGTGTGTTTTTGTGGATGGCTGGTCAGTATGAACGTGGTCTCAGGGTGAAAGTCGTGTCATATAGCTCACACCTATACTGAATTATTTTTTCATGTCACAGCTTGAATTTGTCTGTATGCTGTAAATATCACTGTAGAAAACAACGGTTGTGTATTGTGATGTTTATATACTGTATGTTTAGCTGTAATTTGGCAAACTGACATCAAGACAGGATGAAGTCAAAAGCAGCTGGACTTGTTAGTCTTCATTAGCGCTGATGATAAAACATGCTGGATGCATGCATGTTGACATAAAATCCCATTTCTTGACATCCTGTGACTCAGATACATGACGTTAGTTACAGTGAATTTTCATAATCAGACAAAGATTGTGTAATATTGTGACACTCACCAGGATGATTCAGTCGAAATCCTGACAGAAATGTAGCTTTTTTGCATGCCAAAGCTGATCATAGAAATCAAAAACCGCCAAGCAAAGTCAGCCTAGAGTTTTATAATCTTATAATAAGGGGGTTTCTTCTTTTAAGATGCTTTATTCATTATGCCATTTGATGCAGATTTTCCATTTTTATATTTGATTAATCTACTCCTGCCTTTGATTTTTTGCAGCAGCTGGTTTTTACCTCAAGATCACTGTCAGGCCTGCAGCACCGCAGACAACAAAAGGTTAATTGGTTTCAAAGTCAGTGTTGGCTTCCCACAATCCTACTGCTGGGGTTTTCCCCAAACCTGCTACTGTAAACAGCAGCTAAAAAGGCAGAAGTGGAGTCTGTTATGCCTGAGTGACCCTTAAAATCCCCCCCATAGGTTTATCATTTATTCTACCGTTGAAATGATCACGTCTCCCCTTTATTTTTCTCCTTTTTCTTAAACTACGTAATCGTTTAACATTATTTTGCCCTTTATTTGAAGATAAGATGAAAGATAAAAAAATATATTTTTCAAACATTTCTCATTATTTGTGTGCTTGATATGTATGTAAGATAATGAGTTTTTATTAGGTAACTAACTAATTAACAACTGAATTAACTAAACCTGTTCAACATTTCAGCTACTCAGGTTTCATATTCAGCCTGTGGTTATCATCAGTTACCATCCCGAAGAGTTAATGCCATTATCATTGTTTTTTTGTTTTTTTCATATCTTCTTATCAATTTTATATTTTATATTCATGATTATCTTCATGATTCTTGACTTGCAGTACTTGGTCTATCTTTATCCTTCTTATATTTTTCAACCTACTATGTTCATTGTTAAGCACCAAAACACCAAAGCAAATTCCTTGTAGATGTAAAGCTTATTCTGATTCTGATAAAAGATTTTAATGGATCTTTGCTGAATTTTAGCATGCAGGATGGATGCATGTTGGATTTATTGAATGGGCCACTTTTGCTTTTGGGTGCAGAGAAAAATAACAAAACTAATGAACTGCATTGTACAAATTTTTTGATTTCAAAAAGATTATATCACTCTCAGACAAAAGATTTAATTCTAAAATCATGTCTTGTCAATCAGTTTTCATAGTTCATATTACTCCATGTCTCCAGTAACTGCTGCTTCATTCTGGCTGTTTTGACGCCTTTTCTTAGAGATGCTGCCGTTTTAAAAAGGATGAGCATTTTCTCCAAGGAGTGATTAGTGCCAGGATATATATTTAAATCATCTCACCAGCATTTGGTATTTTGTTGGTGCGTGTCCCCAGGGAGAGAGTGTGTATTCTATTCTATCAGGGCGCATCACATGTGAAACAGAGAGATAAGAGGCAGCGGATGTGTGGTGACATCCCACAACAAGCACACACTCAAAGCAGAAGTGAGTGCTGGTAGTGCGGTCATGACGCATTTCTTCATTATTTCTAGTAAATGAACTAATTCTTTCTCTCTCTCTCTCTCTCTCTCTCTCTCTCTCTCTCTCTCTCTTTATATACCCAGACTCACCTCATCTACAGATGCAATGTGAAGTTTCCTAAAACAAACTGAGAAAAAAAGAGGCTCCTGGCCCTGTCTGTTCCCAGGAATGATGCCTCTCTTCTGGGTTGCGCTTTGGTCAACGCTCTCTCTTTCTCTGGCACTCTCCTCTGGTCCAGATCGCTGTACTGTCCATGAGAGTAGCAGCTTACAGAGCGGTGAGTCTCTGCAGTGTTCACCTAGAACAATCTGAATTGTTTTGGAATTAAATCCTTTGAAATTTTCCATTTTGAATATTTGAGATTATAAATGGAATCCCTGCTCAGCTGAATCTCTCATGGGATGCTTTTTTCTAGTTTGTGTGATTATTATATAAATATAAGGTGTGGTAACAATCAGTGGTGGAAAGTACATTTACTCAAGTACAGTTTTGAAGTTCTTGTGAAGTGACATACTTGAGTATTGACTTGACTATTTTCTGCAACTTTATACTTCTACTCCACTACAGTGGAGGGAAATATTGTACTTTTTGCTCCACTACATTTATCTGACAGGTTACTTTGAATATTTTGCAAATATTAATAATTTTACTGACAAAACATGTTGTTACATTTGCTCAAATTAAATGATTGGCTGGCCTACCTCTGCACACTCCTGCCTTTGTACTCACTGTGCATGAAAATGTGTTTTGGGGGAGTCACTTTGGAGGGAGGTGTGAAGGTGAAGGTGGTGGGATTATTTTGATTGAATACTTTCATAATCTAGATTTCTCTTGATAGTTTCTCCAAAGTTGCCAACCCAAGCTTTAGGAAACAAGTGATTTAAAACAACTTGATTATTAATGAGTAGCCTACTTCCCTAATAATTCCTAATGGAGGACTGTAGATAATGATGAGTTACTAGAGATAAATTAATGAATCATTAGGTAATAATTTGTTCACGAATATCTGTTAATGCTCATACTGACCATTTTCTTAATGAATCGTTCCTGATTAACTCTGAACCAGACGGTGACCAGCACAAAACTAGTAATAATTTCTACATTACTAATTACTTAAACAATTTCGTGTAGCCCAAGAAAAGTGATACATAATACTGAGTAGTTACTAAGAAGTCCCTCATTACTTCATCATTATCTTACAATTACTTACCTGTTTTGTGTCCCTCCAAGTAAAGCAGTGCATCATACAGGGTGGTTAGTAAGTAGGGAGACCGGGGATGGGTGTAACATGAGTCAGTTGTAACACGTCCAATTTCTCCAATCAGAAACAAGTTACTAATCACCTGATTCCCTTTGCACATGCCCAGTTTAGGCACTGCCAATTTTAGAAGGAAATTTTTTTTTTTTAACTTTGTTATAGCATTGCCTCCTTTGTAGTTAAACTAACTTAATGTTCTAGCTGTTAGCTGTAAGGTTAGCTTGTTCATGGCCTCAAGAGTCTGGGTTTGTGTTAACAACAATGAAAATGTAAAATTGTATTTATATGTTTTCTTTGACAACCACAGTAATATAGTTTAATTGTTTTATTATTATGTTCACATGTAACTAGTTTGTATCACACTTTGAACGATCTGGCTTGAAAGAGCTCCAAGATGCAGACAGAAATTTCAAAAAAGTTACAACCATCCCCGGCCTCCCCTACTGAATAAGTACTTCATCATTTAGAGGAATCAGGAACTCACGAAGAAAGCAGTTATAGTATTTTCTGTGTGTGGCCCGATGGATAGCACTGTGGCATCACAGCAAGAAGGTCCCGGCCTTACTGTGTGGAGTTTGCATGTTCTCCTCATGTGGGTTTTCTCTGGTTGCTCCGGTTTCCCCCACCCGCAAAAACATGTTAGGTTCTCCAGTCAATGCCATTGAGTGCCAGTAACACAGGCTCAGATCTGGAGTTGGTCCCCGGGCACTGCACATTGGCTTCCCATTGCTCCCTTGAGGTATGGGTTAAATGCAGAGAATGAATTTACACATGTATGTGTATGTGACAATAACATATCTTACCTTACCTTTCATGTTTGCCTCCAGCGTGATGAAGGGACACCCGGAACACAGTGATATAGTTTAATCAACTTTACTCTTGTTCTCCACATGTACTCTCGTTCTCACATGTAGGTGTGTATCTCCTTTTCCCAGTAACCAGAGTGGGCATGTCTCATTATATTACAGTGGTCAGAATGATTAATCCACAGATATTCATGAACTAATCATTACCTAACGATTCATATATGTAGCGTACGCCCGTCTGCTGCTCATTATTATCTACTACATAGCCCTCCATTAGGAAATATTAGGGAAGTACTCGTTAACGACTTTTCTATAATGAAGTTGTTCAGATTATTTCCTCACTTGTTTCTAAATTAACTGATCATAAGCCACTCTATAAAATTTGATTTGAGTTGCTCATTAATTAATGGTTCACTATCAGTTACTTTTGAATTTTGTTTCCCCTATTGTTACCCAAAAAACTGTTACCCAAAAATGCTTTTCACACAAGCATTGGTGTTAATAATCCTATATATAATACTATAATACTGGGAAAGCATAATGCACAACAAGTACTTTTAGTTGTGTTACTTTAAGTACATTTTGCTCCAAACACTTCCATACTTTTACATTGGTAAGATTTTGTATGCAGGACCTTCACTTGTAATTGAGTGGGGGTTTTTTTCCATAATTACTATTAATTGTACTTAAGTAAAACATCTAATTATTTTTCACAGTATCTACTCAGCATAAAACAATAGCAATTAAGGGTAATTTAGCAAAGTAATTGAGCAATCACTTAAAAACAACACTCCCTCTCTACCCAGAGTCACCATTGCTGAAATCCTTACAGTGCCATAACGACTACGAATCCTATGTCCTCTGCAAGTGGAGGGAACACAGAAACACAACTCTGCAGCTTTGGTTCAAGACAGAAAAAAACAGGTACAACCAGTAGAGAGGACGGGACAGCAGGGGGACCAAGAGGGTGTTTAGCAACACGGGACGGGCTGGATGGTTGTAGAGACTGAAATAAAACAAAATGTTTTATGTATGGCAACTTGTTGAAAGATGAAAACTGATTATTGGTCAAAACATAGAATATAATGTAGGATTATGGGGTAAAAGTGATGTAAAAGTGATGTAAAAGTTTTCTGTATCACAGCTCTGTGTCCATGTCCTTGCAGGACGCTGTGTGCGCCCTACGGTGCTGCAGTACAAGAAGCGAGCGAGTACAGGACTGTCCAGTGTAGATATAATACTCGTACATTTTCCATCGGCATCAATCACACAGTCTTTTTCCTCAAGGAGAAGACACTCTGCTCATCTGACCCACACAAGCCTCTGGAGCTTTTACAGCACTGTGAGTTTACATGACATCTGTCAAACAAAACTGTTACTGATGATTATGAGAGGAATACATTGTGCTATTAAGTACAAATGAATGCATATAAGCATAATACACATAAGGAAATAACATTTGCATTAATTGGCATCAACACTTCCACTTCGACCTGTGTGTTTTTGTGTTGTACAGTGAGAGCACGTCCACCTGTGAATCTGTTCACACATGATGCAGGTGATGGAGGCCGACAGCTCAGCTGGTCCAGCCCCTACCCCCCCTCCTCCTCCTTAAACCAAAAAATCATGTATCAGCTCAGCTACAGGACAGAGACACAGGACAACTGGACGGTCAGTATGAAACATATGCTACCAGTAAAAATTCATACTGAAACTAGACAAGAGCAGCATGTAATGGGCATTCGTGCAGTTTTAGTTCCTAAACACAATAACTGACTGCTCAAGCCTGAGCCTTGATGATGCTACAATGAAGCATATAAATATCCTAAACACACTGTACAATAGCATACATTGCTATGCTAGTGGCTCTATAAGGCTTTATTTAGGCACAACAATGTTTTGAGTTAAATGCTAACGTCAGCATGTTAACTACACTCACTATGACAATGCTGATGTTTAGCGGGTGTAATGTTAATCCTGTTTGAAATCTTAGTTTAGCATGTACGCTTGCTAATATTTGCTGAATAAAGGCATTGTAGAGTTAAAACCGGCAGCTAATGCAGTAGAATGGAGCGTAAATTGCGTTTATTTGTTCTATATTTCACCACACACAATAAAAGCAGAAACAAAAAGTGTACAGTTTTAATTACGTATTTGAACTCTAATTAAATACTTTGTGAGCCAGAACTCACTCGCATCACTTTTCAATCTCTCCGCAGACTGAGTACGTCACAAACACCAGCACAAAACTAGATAAGCAATTGTTGCTTCCAGGTCGCAGGTATGAAGCCAGGGTGAGGGCCCGGGCCAGCGTGGGTCACTGGAGCCTCTGGAGTCCTGTGTTGACCTGGCAGACTGAAGACGGTGAGTCAAAGAAAGTAACCTGTGCAATCCATCAACAAAACTGCGAGTCCTTTCCTGTATGTTTCACAATTTTGCTTTCACTTTGATATTTCTGGGTAAACCATTTGACTTGCATCTTTTATTTATTGCATCATTTTAATCCGGGATGGTCTTCGTCTGATACAGACCCTGCTCCTTATCTCCCCTCCTTGCATTTCAAATCTTCTCCCTCTGTCCATTTTTATGGGAAAAGTCTGCAGCTGTTGTTTTTAGCTCTTTCCTCATCTCTCTCTCTCTGGCTCTAGAACCTGAGCAGGTTCCCAGTTTGCATTGTGTGCTGGATGGAGAGAAGGAGGTGATGTGTAGCTGGGAGGTGAGCGGAGAGCTGGCTCACTTCATTACATACCAGTTGGCTTGTCGACACAACCAAACTGCACAGTGAGTCGAGTGTGGCGCTGACAATACCACCTGTTTGAGGTTAAAAAAAATGCATCCCATTTATTCATTCCCCTCCTCTCCTGTTAATATCTGCCTTTAGGTCTGAGGGTTGCTGTGTGAACCCAACTGTCACTTCTGACCTCAGCGGGACGGTGCTGAGGTACAGCTGCTCACTGACTGTCGCAGACCCTGCACATCTGATGGTGGAGCTCCTACCACCACTCAATGGAAAGAGTTTCAAAGTCCACCAACACAGTGAGTGGACACGAGACAGAAGGGACAACATTATGTGAGAGATTGGAGCTAAAATAAAACAGACAATGAGGCGATAAAAGCTGTGCAGACACATGGCGGCGAGCAGAGCAGCTGTGTTTGAGTGCCCCCACCTAGTGTTTGAATGGCACTGCTGCATCCATATCCGTGTTTGTTACCAGGCAATAAGACAACATAACTGAAGATGGTTTGGTTTTAAGCTGTCATAAAACAACTTAGAAATCACACGCTTGTCCACATATTTAGCATAAAACAATCACAAAAAAAAGGTTCAATCCAACATGAAACGTGGACATGCAAACTATAAGCGGCAAATAATAATTTGTTACACATAATTTTGAAGCATGACATGATAAAAACTACAAGTTACTATAACTTGTTTTTATTTAATTATAAATGTTTCCATCATGAGTTACTGGATGCTACAAACTAATCTCTTATTGCGCAGTTCGTCCCAAACCACCAGAGAAGGTCCAGGTGAAGGAAAAGGTCAGCAAGTGGATAGTGGAATGGACTAACCCAAACAAAGCTTCAAATCTCGAACTGTATTATCAGGTCTGCTATTACAGGGCACATGATCAGGTGAGAAACTTTTAGCTCATGAAATCTAGTCCTTAAAAACGCCACAACCGGCAAATGTTAATGGATCTACATGTATTCCTTTTTCAGGGATCCTCTTTCCTGCTGAACGTTTCAGGGGGGTCCATGTCTCTGACCATCCCGGACAGTTCTCTGGCCCCATCCCAGCGCTACCAGGTCAAGGTCCGGTCACTACTCGTCCCTGATTCCGTCTACAAGGGAATCCCCTCTGAATGGACCCAGCCTGTCGACTGGACCTCGCATGAAGGTACTATACGGCGTGTACAGAATGCACATAAATAAAGGCAACACCAACATATGCCACAAGTGCGTGATCGCAAAAAACAAAATCATCATATCATGAATAATTAGCACCATTATTATTGTTATTGTTATTATAATAATAATTATTATTATTATTATTATAATTGATTCTGTTTCCTGTCCCCTGACAGCCTCCTGGTCCCCAACCGCCCTGATCTATGTCTTTATCTGTGTGTGTGTGATCACAGTCTTCTTCACATTCTACTGCACCATTCCAGCTTGTCGAAGGTATTTTATTTATGTATACTTCTGAACACTTCAGTAAAAGTCCTGTTAAATAAAATGTAACTCTAGCACATCAGATAAATGGAAAAGAGGACATACATAATACATCTGAAATGCAATCAAATTAAACTAATAAGTCCAAAACATTGAAATATAAAGTTTAAGCATCAATATCTGTCCTTACTTTACACATACAAAGGTTTCCATTATGGAAACATATTGCTGTGTAAAACATTAAAGCAGCACTCTGAAACAGGGGTTTTCTCCTAATACATTTATTGTTTCTGACTCTGGGACAGTAAAATGTCTTCAAACTACTATATCTCTGAACTATCTCTTTAAACAAATCAGACACATTTAGGATGTTCTAAGTGATTTCCTTTTGATAACTAATGTGATACGTATTCATTTATAATAAAGCATTCTTTTTACATGGTGTATTTTCAACAAATAGGAGGGTAGTTCTGTGGGTGGACTCAGTTCCTTCACCAGGTAAAAGCAAAATCCTGTCTGAGATCAAGGTGAGACTGGCTAATTCTACAGTTTGATTGAATTGGTGTGTCAAGAAATCTGCATATTTTTGTTTGTCTGATTGTATTTTGTAACATATAAATCATTCATCAAAAACATTTTTTGTGATCCAGTCAGCCAATAGCTGGACCCTCATGCAGAGCGAGAACACGTCCATGTGCAGAGTGCAGCACATGGACAGCGTATCGACATGGTAAAACATTTCACCCTTGACATTTCCTGACAGACAATAAGAACAAATGCTTCTGGTGCATGGATGGATACATTACGTGACGATTCTCTGCTATCTCCCTGCAGCTCCTCAGACATTTCGCTGTGGCCGACCAAAGACAGTGAAAAAAAGCTTTTGGAGCAGGGCGAGGGCTGCTGGAGGTGTGATAACCTGCCTTCCCCTGCTGAGAAGGTTAACAGCTCTGACACATCCTCCATGAGCTTCAGTGGGCCGTACATCTTCTGCCTGGTCAGTTACTCACGGTCGTAGTGCCAGTGTCATTTGTCAGGTATCCAGGTGCTGAGAATTTCTCAGGCACTCACACAAAAGCACAGACATTCAGCTGAATCTGAATGTTCAGCATGTTCATGTTTTTATCATTTTACATCAGCTGAAATACTGTCTGATAAGTCATTCCTAAAATGGCATCAGATATTTGATTTAAATTCTTTGCCTTTGATGACATCTGCCAGGAACTGCAGATGAACACCGGCCTTAAGGGAATCGTTTGATATTTTAGGAAATTCAGAATACTCATTTGTATACTTTCCCACAGTTAGATGAGAAGATCTAGAAAATAGTCTAAAAGTGACATGTTGTGGTTTTACGGTGGGTTATGTGCCAGACAGTTCTTGGCCAGGTGCAGTTGTAAGAAGTCTCTGTTCCAGGACAAGAAATAGCATAACCCCCATAAAACCACAATGTTATAAATTTAACAAACAATATATAACATGTTAATTAGTGAGCTTCCGAGTTGCTGATTGGCAACTGTTGTAACATTCAGACAGCGCCAGGCTAGCTGTTTCCATTCTTTATACTAAGCTAAGCTTAGCGGCTGCTGGTTGCAGCTTCATATCTATCGTACAGACATACGTGGAATCAATCTTGTCATCTAACTCTTAGCAAGAAAGCAAATAAGTGTATTTCCCAAATGTTAAGCTATTCCTTTAATAACAATGAAATCACATGCTATATTACAACTTGAGAACTTGGGAAATATTTTGAGAACAAAATAATTCAGAAGATAGCCACTTGCACATGCTGCATAGCAGTTTATAAATGAGCAAATGACAATTAGCTAGCTATGATTATCAATACACATATTATTAATTAGCTTGCAGCCGTTAGATGTCATACTGAACAGCAGTGTTTCTATCCTACAGTCACCAGACCTGAAATGCAAGTCAGTGGATGTCAAGTGTGAAGAGGAAGAGCCAGAAAAAGAAACCCCCTCAGGTGACTCTTCATCACCTTCCCCTGTGAATTTCGGCCTTTTCGGGGAAGGTTATGTGTGTCTGCCCAGCCGCAGCGTCTCCAGGTCCACACAGGATCTTGTATTTCACAGCGATGCCAACACAAACGCACACAGGCACGACAGCGCTGAGCAGGACCAACAGCGTCTAGATGAGACAGATGACCAGACAGGCCTCAGCGAGCCCACCAGCAGCCACCAACCTCCAGCCTACACCTCAGGACTTTTCACTCCCTGGCCTCAAGAGGACACCATACAGGCCTCAGGGTACTGCCACCTCCCCACAGCCCACATGACAGCAGAAAAGTAACCTGCAGCAAGCAAAGGAAGAGCATTTCAAGGGGGACCTATCAGGCTTTCTCAGCAGACATAGCAATCAGTCAGTGTTTTGGGTTTTTTTTTAACATAAGCTTTGCACTTTATTTTAAGCCTTTTATGTTTCCATGTGAAAAAATTCAATCATTGGGTATACATAAATGGGTTTTTAAACATTAGAAAGGATTTTTAGGAAACATTTTGCTCAGTTTTATGTCTTGTCTGACCTACCATCAGGTTGGATGTCTGACCAATGGAGGGCAGTAGTGAGCTGAGCCTGTGACTGCGGTGCAAGTAAATCTAAGGGGATGGAATTCCCCTATGGTGCACAAAGTAATTATTTCTTTTTGAACTTTTTTGGAAGCTTCCTGACACATTTTAGGTCAAAATTAAATTAACAAATATATTACAATACAACTGCAGTGCATACAAACTAGTTCAGAATTTTTAATTCAATGGTAAGATTTTCTCAGCAAGATACAATTATTTACTTCCTTGTATATTTTTTCCAGCCATGTAAGGCATTTCACCAACATATCTAACCGCAGGCTCTTAAGAACTGTGTTGAAATGTGGTCTGTTTTATTACTTCCTCAAATTTACTGTCTCTCTCACAGCTGAGGTAAGAAGCAGAATTATACAGCATCTCATGGAAAAGGTGTGTAACTTTGCTGATTGCCATATTCGTTGTGGTTATGTATGCACGTTTGCACAAAGGTGTGCGAGTTAGGACCTTGTTCTCAATGTTCTTGCCATTTGTGTTGCTAAATATAGAGTATATTATCTACACGTTGATGTGCTGATACTGCTATGTTGCGTGGCATTGCCACTGGCACTGTATGCAAGTTTTTGTTCAAGAGAATTCAAATATGTTAAATCTACTTTTAATGCATATACTTAAAGTAGGCCTATAGATGTATTTCGATGTCAGCAATGTATGAGTAATCTGACTGCACTTTTGTATGGTGATAGTAAACTTGTAAAATGTTTTAAAAATCTCTGTTTTATGAATGACTTACACACCCCTCATAGCATACACACACAAACAAATATAAACTGGCTTGTAAGTTTTCAGGCTGGCTGGCAAACTGCTTAACATATGCTCACTTGCTAGTTTATTAGGTTCACTGAGCTAAAACTAATACAACACTTCTGCAATAAATCTTACCTTCATGACTTTTTTAAGGTTTTATTATAATTGCATTGAGTTATACTGACAAGTGTTTCTATTATTTTGTCCACTACATTTATATGAATGAGGGCAGTCTGACTACTATTAATATTTATCCTGAATGAATCTATATAAAGTATCAGATTTAAAATTGCATAGATTCCACTGTGGCAGCTGCTAAGCTGTGTAAGGTTGAGCTAGGGTTTTTCTACAACATGATTAGATTTGCCTATTGTCTCATTAGTTAATCACTAACTGAATAATTACCAAAATATCAGTTCATCAAAATACCCTTTTTAATTTTCTGATAACATAAGAAGTTTACTTTTTACACAAGTATTTAGCAAGTAAATTTAGCTTTAATTTTACCTAAGCCTAGCAGTGGCTATCTCTACAGCTGGCTTTTGCTTAATGTACGCTAGCATTTTTGTTTTAGCTGTGTAGCTGTTTCTCTATAGAAAGTGCATTAAGCAAGATATTATCTTTTTTAGAGCAGGTACTGCAAATTATATTCATAATAAATATTTTCTATGGCATAATACTTGTCGTTACTGTGTTTTGACTTTGACTATAACTGTCCCTTCCGTCTATTCACATCACACTTGGCTACTGTAGGCTATTTTTTTGCTGTCGTCTGTTATCAGTCTCTTTCTCTAGATGGGTTTCTATCCACTTGCTTTTCAGTGCATTTTCAATGAGGCCATAAAAAAACAGATGCAAATCAACATATCGTAAAAAAAAATTGGGTCAGTCATCAGATCTGGAAACTGACCTTCTTCAAAGGAATAATGCAATTTTTCCGTCATGTTTTCAACATTGTATTTCACCATTTGAGGGTTGACTGGTGCTCATCTAATTACTTCATATTGCTGCGTCCTCTTACGCTGCAATAGTCTAATGTCCACCAGCTGTTCGACAAATCAGCTCCTAATAATCTCATAATGGTAGTAAACTAGTAAAAAATAGTAAATGGAAATGCATCTTTTTTCCGATTTTCAACAATTTACAAATTTACAAAGTTATGACAAACAGTGGCTGGTTTTTCTCCCTTGTTTACCTGGGGACATGACCAGTGTGTGTCTGTATTTGTTAGACATGTGTGTACAGTAATCTGGCAGCTGAGGTCCAGATCAGAAGGAGGATGTCACTGCGCATAATTAAACACACTTTCTGTCTCTCTAATTTATTGCTCTGTTTTCTGCACATCTGTCTAGCCTGACTTGTGCAGAGTATTCAGGGTCTGTCCATTTTGGGAAGCAGATGTGAGTGTGTAATGCATATGTGGTGCATGTATGAGCTTGTAATGCAATATTATTGGAACACATTTATACCATTAACGTATTGTTCCTGAGCAAAGCATAAGTCTTTTTTGTGTCTGCAGAGAGAACACAATGCTGGAATTCCAGGCATGCTGATATCGACATCCTGTGTTTTCAGCCCATCGCTAGGTACAACTTCCTGTCTGATGAGGTTGAGGAGCAGTTTGACACACGGCGACTGAGTCATGATGCCCGTGAAGACGCTAATGCACATGTCTACTTGGCCTTGACCACGGTAGCGGAAGGCGATGGGAAGCCGATTTGATGTGTTTTCCCAGCATTCCTAGCTTTTTCAGATGCTCAGCCCCCCCCCCCAAAAAAAAATTATCACATTCCTCAAAATCACCATCTGGGGATTTTTGTTCTCTGGAGTGGGAGAGTGCGTTAAGTGAGTGAGTGAATGAGTGACAGATTCTTATTGATCTTCATCAGTGAAAAGAGAAAAAGATAAAAACATGGATAACAGATAAAGGTCAGGGTTAATGGAGGTGTATGCGCTTGATGATGTATTGTGTCGTCGTCTGTGTACAGCATGTCCCTGTCCTTTGTCGTGCATAAAAACAGGAAAATAAAAGTGCTGGAAGGTGTAGGGAGTGCGTGGCACCACACGGATGCTTGTGTAACCTCCTGTTCAAAGGCCTCCGTTTCCTCCCTACTGTACATCAGGGAATCAGGCCATACTGAAACACAGACTCTTATTCCAAAGAAATGTCTTCGTAAGCAGTTTGGACAATTAGATGCATTTTATCAGGGCAGCAGCGGGGCCTCTCTTTGCTTTTTGTTTCTTTTTAAGTTCTTTATTATCTTACGTACACTATATTCCCTTGCATTCAGAAAGACACAGGTGTAAGAAACCTTGCTGAACATTCACTTGTGTATTTACATGTGACATGACAGCTTATTTGCTAATGGAGAAGGCCCAGAACTGCAGCAGTGTTATATTGAAATTGCAGTGATGCATTCTCATTGATGTTTGAAATTTTACATCCTGACAGTTTAAAAAATGGTGGGTGTCCCCCCGTCCTCAACGAGATGAATTGAAAGAAAGAATAGAACTTGAAGTTTCAATGCCTGATTTTGACACAAACACAAAATTCTTCCCATTGCTTCGGAGGACATTGCATTCATTAATTCGCTAGACACATACCCTAACCTTAACCATACCCACTTTATGCTTCACCCAAACCCGTATCCTAACCTTAACCAAACTTCAAACCAACCATTTGGGGATGTGCTCTATGTTCCCAAAACCAAGATAAGTCTCCACAATGTGACTGTGATTTATGTCCCCGCAGCATGAGGCACCAATATGCTGCAACTGAAGTGCTTGTCGGTTGGTCGAACACTATCTGAAACCCTCCTATCCCTACAGCTTGAAGACGACAAAAATCCAACAGGCACACCCGCTTCATCCAGTGATTGGCACGGTGTGTGGAGGTCAAACAGTAAGCAGGGTTTGATCTTCTCTTTTTTCATTCTGTACACAACTATTTCTGGCACTTTTCATGAGTACAAACAAATGCAACCCTGAATGTCGTCCAGGAGAGGCTGTGTGAAAGTCTTATTGCGTCTCGCTCCTCTTTATGATGGCCATCTTTTTATCCCACTTTGAGTGTGGCTGATGAAAATGCTTTTGTCTTTCAATGTGGTCATACAACACATCACACAAATTAGTTGTTTTTGACCATATACAAAGTCAAACCTAAAACAAAACAAGGGGAATGAACAGAAATCCTGTTCAGCTTTTCATTCAGTATTCACCTATTATGCCAAGAGAGACACATTTGAGACATGGTGTAGTTGTATTTATGATTTATTTTCTTAATTGACAAATATGCAAGTAGCGGTGCAGAATGAGCATGTACACCCAAAGAACAAATCACTAATGAATTCCAACACAGTAATTATTATGTAACAGGATTTGATTGTAACTAACTGATGATAATGGTTGGGTTATGCTTCGTAATCAGGTTGGTCTTTGTGATATTGCCCGTCAGGTTCTAGACAAGATCAGTCATTGTATCGTTCCAGTGGTTGTTTGCTGGTTAAGTAGCAGTGTTGTAAAGACCCAACAAGCCATATCATTTTTTAGGGTCAACCAGTCGGCTATGAATCATCTCGTGTCTTTAGTCACAGTCTCTGGTCCCTCAGAGACCCTCCCACGTTGTCATGGTAGTTGACCCCTGTGTGTGTTTGAATGAGTTTGTCACAGTCAACAAGCCTCCACGCACTTCTCTTCCCCGCTCTTATTTGAAGTCCATGGGGGGCAGGGAGCTGCTCGGACACCCGCGAAAAAACAGGCATCCCACCTCGACGCTGAATTTGGAGATGGTCTGCTGTTTGTATGTCTGTGTGAGATTGACAGTAGAGCAATGGGAAGTAATTCACGAATACACATACAGGGGGATTAAGGGTGAGCCTGCTTTCTGCTAAATAGTCATTTTGGTACAGAAATTAAACCTAGTGACTTTTGCAAATTATGTCACATAAATATGAAGAACGTGGCTCTTCAAGCTACAAACATATAAGTAAGCCCCCTGTGCTCTAAAGATTGTTTAAATCTGTGAGGACATTAGCATTATTGTGCTTCAAAGCCATTCCTCGTATGATTCCAATTACACAGGGGAGCAGATGACTTCTTGACTTGGTAATTAGCAGACATAACTTTGCAGCTGGCTGCTGAGTTGGGGAGTTTTTTCAGCCAAGAGTCAAGTGGGTAAATGTGAAAAACAAACCACAAAGAGAGTGTGTGCCAGAGTTCACCTTCAGCACACCAACCCCCACGTTCTCTGTCTCTCTCTTTTGTCAGATTGAACAATCATGTTCATCTCTTGGACTAACACTCAATACAAGGCAGTGCTAAACTCATGTGCATTTAAGGAGTACGTATGATGTCTCCAGAGAGCTGTGTAGACACAGCCTGCCAAACAGGCACAGTAAATAAATCCACCTGGGCTCATGAGATGGTAAGATATTCAAGAGTTCATGGTGTCATAGAAAAGTCAGTTTATCCATGGAACTGTTCTAATGTGTCCTTAAGGAGTTTGGTGTTAAAAAACACCTACTTACTGATTACAGTGGTTAACCAGCTAAAATAGTTTTTTATTTGCATCTTACACTAAAGGGATAATCTGACACACTTTTCATCGAGTACCATCATCAGGTAAAATGTTTAATTTGCCCACTACCTTCATTTACTAAAGGTGATTAAATACTCACAAAGCTAATGACACTCCCATCAGCATCAGCTGTACTATGTTCAGTACTAATTAGCAAATGTTAACATGCTAACAGGTTCAACTAAGACACTCATCATCAGCAATTGTCACTGCACGCATTTAGCTAAGCTAGAAAAGCATATAGCACACTATAAGAAAACTTTGGCCTTTTGGAAGCTAATTTATCGATTTAGAAGGAAATTGATGACAAGGAATATAAACACGGGCGGCATGGTGGTGCAGTGGTTAGCACTGTCACCTCACAGCAGTGTGGAATTTGCATGTTCT